TGATACGGACCAAAAATCTGCATAGATTAATCCTCGCACTGGAATTTTTAAGGATGAATTTTTAAGTGCGAAAAGTTCAACACCTGTGTTTTCACTTTTATCAAAATTCTGAAAACGTTTTTTGCTTATGGTGGATAATACATTCGCATTATCAATTTCAAAATTAAGGTCTTGACACCAAATGAATGCTTGTGAAACGAAAATGCACCGAATGTTTAGATTTTGTGCGTTGTAATTTGGTTCTGAGTAATGAGAGGCCAACGGTCATTTGTAAAGAACTCGATTACGATTGAATGATGACAAAAGGCTTGCAGAACAAGGAAACGCTCCGAGTTGCACTTCAAAAAATCCGACATATTTCGGGTACAACAAAAACAGGAAAAGCATTGGATAAAGCTCTGCAAGTGTTCAAGCACGACGCTATTTCTGGGGCACGACTGGATCAGGAAGACGTGGCACAGGTTCGAAACTTCTTCTTGCACTGTCTTTCTAATGAGTATTACTGGTACTTAGGCTCTATGATCAAAGTGTGTAGAGCCCTAGAGAATCGAAATAAGTTTTTTATTTTAAATGATTACGTTGAACCCGCTTTTTTGCTAGCTCGCATCCTACAAAGTATAAAATGGACCTTGCACAGCTGTCATGAACAATTATTCACGAAAGATTTTTCTACCTTTTTTTTTCTTCTTTCTGAAAATTTTGATCAGAGTGAGAGGCAGCATTTGTCTGACCGCGTTGGGCTCTTTGAAGAAAGCGGCTTTGCGAAGAGGTCATTTTTGGACCTGCTCCAAAATTAAAAGGGCCCGATCAAAAAATTGAAATTACTTATTTTTTAATTGTGCTTCGATAAATATAAAGACTCCGCGTATTTTTAACAGGTCTAGTTCTCTTGTATTCCACTTTAATTGCAGCTGTTGTCAAATTCATATAATGCAGCATTCTGGCAATTCACAGTGCCTTTAGCTCCTTTTTTTAAAAAACTGTCATAAAAACCTTGGATGATTGTTATCGATGGCTTTATTTTCCACTTGTACAGCCAACGTTGAACTGTATTTATAAAAATAACTCAAAATTTCATCTCGTCAGATAACTGCTCAAAATAGTCGGACTCAACACAATTTTCCCAGACACGCGGTGTTTTCGATTTCAAACATTTTATAGCAGAATCTCAGCTGATCTTGAAGAAAATGAATATCGAGTTCTTGAAAGATTCAGCAAGCTTACCCTTCGCAAAAATGAAATTTCTTGTTTCGATCATCTCTGCTATTTTTGTATTTAAAATCCGTAGTGAAACGGCTAGGGCAGTATGGGGATGTAGTGGATTACACATTTTGCCAGGCTTAGTTACCGTCTCTCGTTTGTCTCAACTGCTCAAGAGAACTACTAACTTGGCCAGCAACAAAGTGAAGTTGTGAGTTCAGGAAGAATTAAAATAACTCAAAATATAATGAAAGCATTCAAATTAGCATAATCCGTGCTCTTTTAATGCCTTGCTTATGATAAATGCTGCAGGTTGCCGTTGTTGTGACTGACGGGCATTCGCACGACGATCCGGTTCCGGCTGCACTACGACTCCGACAATCTGGTTCTTTTTCAATTTCTTAAGACTTTTTAGCAAGAAGAAAGCCTGGGAGGCTATATTACTTGCCATTGTACTACACCCCCTAGCTAAAAATTCAAAAAAAAAGACGGGGTTCACTAAAATACTGTAAATATCTTTTTGGTGTCGCAAATTACTAATTTTTTGTAGAAAGCACACAAAGTCAGTTGATACCCGAAATTCATGTACGTACAAATCGGTATGTGCATGAGATCACGATTGTATTTTACTTACTGG